GACAGCTACAGGAGACAAACTCTCTCTTGATAGGGGAAGATGTTGGTATAGCAGCATGTGTCTAGACTCAAAGCTGAAAAATAGGCCCGTGGTGTGTTCAATCTGTCTGATTTGCTGCTGCCAGCATGTAGGTTTACCAATTTATTTTCCACCAATTTATTTTCCTGCCTTGTTTACTCCAGAAACTGACAAACATTATAATTTTTCTGGACTGGAACAAATTATTTTTAATTCTGCATCATTAGAAGGGTCCATGAGGATTCGGGAAACACCTTCAGATAGTGGGTGAGTGTTATGAAACCGTGGTAATGGCTGAAAACTGGTTGGCCAGTCTAAATTTTGCACATTAACAGAAGATCTCTGACTCCAGTGTATGTACACATGGGAGCCACAACTACACTGATGACATCCATTTACCCCGTCAGGCTACTCCCACTCCAGGAACAGAGACTGCTGCCTGTATTCATTAACATTTGACCAACAGGACGTTGTTCCACTCGTTCCTTACATGGTTCTATGAAATAACTTAGTTTGGTTTGAACTGTCATAGAAACACAGTTAAACTGGCAGAGCAACACCAGAGGAAGTATCACAAAGCTTCACACAAGAACATTGTAAAAGGTTTGATGCAGGATTTAAGTAGGCCAGTGCTTTAGCTTTAGCATTAGCCAGCGCAGCTAAAAGGAACACATGGCAAGAAAACAGAGCCTTATGGAATTGATATTTTTACCATAAATCTATCATGTCACACAAGCTTTTACCCTGTATACAAATTTGGACAACTAGGACATTTTTGATACAATACTTCAAAATCTTTGGTATCTGGTGTTTTGTGCAAGTTTAGTGTCATGATACCTTTCCTTTGCTGAAGTATTGGACAAACCCTGGTGTGGCCTAAAAGAAATGCAGACATTTACTGAACACACACAGAATAACTGGAAGTCTAGTGCTAGTTTGCCTCTGTCTGCTTTGAAACCTCCCTTTGTACCAGTCCATCAGTGCGATCCAGTGTGTATTAATTTGCAGGAGCCACATATTCAGGGTTGGTGTAAGAGAAGCCGAGGAACTCCTCCTGGTCCAGGTTCATGATGACAAGGTTGTCTGTTGGTGTCAACTCCACGGGCATCTTGGTGAACTCCTTGTCAAAATTGCAGGTGTCCCGCCGGCTCCTCTGTAGGCGGAGTTTAGAGATTATAGAGGAGAGAGGGTACAATGGAAGGGAGGATCGAAGCGAAGAGGGAAAAATAAAAATGATTGGAGAAGAATGAGGTGAATTGGAGAAGGAGAAGAGAAAACATTAGTGTTAGATACCTTCCTGTTTCCATATCAGCTGCACAAAAATGCAAATCATCTCAGTTGTCTGGACGGCCCCTTCCTTCTTGTTAAAGCCACGGTTTTTTTTTTTGTTAGTTGTACGGTTATGGTTTGTGTACAAAGGCCATTGGTGTTACATGTTGCTTTAAAAATACATACATCAGGTTATGATGTATGATTTTTGTGTTCATTTAGTTTGTATTCCTCACCTGAACATCCAAAGTCTCCAGCTAGGTCTTGTCAGTCAAAGTACATTTTTTAACCTTATCACCAAAACTGTGAGTTGTAGGAATCTGGACTGTTTCTAGCTCAAAATCAAGCCTGCCCTTGTCCACAGTGACAGCTGTAGAAGACAAACTCTTGATAGGAGAAGATGTTGGTATAGCAGCATGTGTCTAGACTCAAAGCTGAAAAATAGGCCATTGGTGTGTTCAATCTGTCTGATCTGCTGCTGCCGGCATGTAGGTTTACACAGAAGATAACAGGGACAAATATGGCACCATCTCCTTTTCCTGCCTTCCATGCCTCAAACTTCATGTGATAATGATTTGCTAATGTTAACATGCTACAAGGAGCACTGCGAGGAATAATGGCAAATGATGAGCAAAAAAGAAAGCCATAAAAAAAGATGCATGGAAATGAAGACACAGAAAGAGAGATAGTCCAAAATCCCTTGATCCCAGAGAAGAAATAAAATGCTAAGGTGGCAGGCAATCCATGTAAGAAGTTTTTAAATTAGAGGAAAATAAAAAAGAAATATTAAATATATCCAAGGATACAATGAGGGGGCAAGTAAAGGAAGTGCAGCAGAGAGAGATGAGAGAAGGATGCTCGCTAACACAGTAAATCAAGAGAAGAAAGGCAGAGTTGTGAGACTCGAGTACAAGCAGGAGCAACAACTTGGTGTAGGAGGTGAGGGAAATCTCTGTGTGTATGAGGGTGTCTGGCAGTTGAGACAGACGCACAATCGTATCAGCTTATGTCAAATATGGGCTGCAGCATCTTTCCAAAGAAGAAGAGTGAGTGACTGCGTGCGTCATCATGTGATTTTACTAAAACTTGTAGAGCAGGATTGGTTTGAGGCATCAACGTGTACATTATGTTCAGGGCGTACACACACAACATACTCTGTGTGTGTATATATACATGCACACACACACACACATATATAAGCTGAAGATGTGTAGTCATTTTCATAAAACGTCTGCTTTCATACGACACGTTGTTAATAGGGTACTTGCAACATTGACCATTGTCTTTTATTTAACAGCATTGAACATTTAAACATTTTCCTTTGACAAATATTCTGAAAAGTACCATGTCATCAGTGGACTGGTTTTGATGCTCCATGTACTGGCAATGAGCAGGATGTGAACCAGACACTGGACCTTACGATCACGAACAAACCTGCCACTTTTCAGTCCTCGCTTTGTTCGTTAGGCTTTGAAAACCACAGGCTGTAGCAGCAAAGGTCCATCCATCCATTATCTATACCGCTTATCCTAAAGAGTGTCGTGGGGGTGTGTGTGGCTGGAGCCAATCCCAGCTGACATTGGGCGAGGGGCAGGGTCCACCCTGGACCGGTCGCCAGTCTATCACAGGGCTGACACATAGAGACAGAACATACACTCAGTCCTAGGGATAATTCAGAGTCACCAGTCAACCTAAACTGCATGTCTTTGCATTGTGGGAGGAAGCCGGAGCACCCAGAGAGAACCACAGCAAAGGTGTACAGGGAAAAAGGGAGCAGTAAGAAGGGAGAAAATGAAATGGATAGAATACAAACTGGCCACAGCAGCAGTCACAGAGAAGACCACACTGGGGCCAATCTCAGAAAATCCACAACCATTAATAATTTATGTAGAAAGACAGCGAGGTGAGCCCAAGAACACAAAGAAATACAGCCACAGTACAAGAAAGGAAGAGAAGACTGAGAGGAGAATCTAGCAACGTGCACAGTGATGATAATCTTAGTCCAAAAACTTCTGAAGATAGAAAAATGATGCAAGCTTCTGCATCATAACAACTAATGTTTCTACTATTACACAAGAATGAGGAAGGGGGTTGGTCAGAAACATCAGTGAGAAAGACAATGAGGGAAAGGAGAGCTCTGGAGATCACAGACACCACAAACCAATGTTGCATCTCCTACCTTCTGAAAGCTCTCCCATGGTGTGAGAGGAGCTCCCTCCATCCACAGGGAAACACCTGCCACAGCTGGCCCAGATCCACCTCACGTTCCTGGGCATAATATCCACCCGAGAGCCCTGCACTACAGGCTACTACAATGCCCGTGTGAATTCCTTTTTCCATTACATTTATTGTTGTAGTTGATCAGCTTTAGTTTAATTTACATTATGAACATGTAAAAATGTTTTATTAAAAGCCACACAACACAGATCACAGTGTTTATACATAATATAGCAGGCTGAATTTCAGAAATGTGTGAAATAAACTGATCTGATCTCACACCTAATAATATTTAGTGTTTTAAAGTTTTTTTAAAGGTTCCACACTCTCACTGGTGCCTTTAATCTGGCTGATTAGACTCAGTTTAGACAGAGCTAAGCTTCAATTAAGTGAGGTCACCAGACTTCAGGAACCTTTAATAATGATAAAGAGGAAATTTGTTCTGCTCTAACAGATGCATGCACCTAACCCTAAAAGACTGTCAGAAAAATGTAAATTAAGCACATTCTGTCCACACACAGCAATAATTAAAGCTACAGTATGTAACTTAAAGTTGCAGTAACTTGAAGCTCCAAATCAATCCACTCTGCTCTGCCCGGCGCTCTCTGTCCCTGCTCAGCTATGGTCTACTACCACCAGCTACGCTCTGCCTTGCTCTGCCCAGCATTTCTGATATTTGTCATTACAACAATGAGATTTCTACAAATAAAATGCTTGGAAAAAAGTTACATACTGTAGCTTTAACTGTTCAATAAACCCCTCCCCAAAATATGTAAATGTATAACCATACCTCTGTAACTAGGCAGTGGATTTCTCAACACAGTGAAGAGGCATAACATACCCAACTAGCATGTCTAGCTAGTAGTCCACAGTGTCCCCAGACTCTATCAGAGCTTCGGGCTAATGTTGGTCATACTGTCCTACTCTTTTGGATTTGGGTACGTTTACACTCCAGCAACCGCAGCAAAAAGTGTTCATCCAACATAACACATTGGTTGTTCCTCATCATATAAGCATTTTCTTTAAAGTTAGAAGTGAAAAATACTATTTGAAAATACAAACAAGTACATAAAGTAAGCGGACGAACAAAAAAGTCTGATCTTACATTCAAATTTTTTTTAACAGCACTATTAGTTCTACATGCCAGTACAAGATCAATGCTGTTTCTATATCTACTTCATTCATCAGCTGGTGAAGATGCAGTAATACTTGCCTAGGACATCCAGTGTTACATATGGAGCCAAGTGCAGATGTTTATTGAAAACAAGTCAGCTGGGAAAATAAAAATAAAATAAAATCTGCCAGTTTTTCAACCAACTCATTTTTAAGCTAGCATTAGCTTATGCAGCTAACAAGCTACCACTGACAAAATCCAAGAGAACCTGTCTGCAGACAAGATGGTGGACTGCTGACCCCGACAGGAAGTAGACGACATTAGCCAAAATCTGTAGACCTTGGCAGGTTTCCAGAAAAAGCTTACAACTTCCTGCTGACACCTGCTTTTTCTACCTGAAATCAATATCTCATTCTTTCCAAAAAGAAATATTGTTTGATAGATATACACACACATTGTCAGTATTCTTACTAATTCATATACTGTCAAACCAAATGTTATTCACATTCTAATCAAGTAGGTCTCTTGCAATTAAGACATCTGATCAGACTTTGGAAGTCGACTGTGTACACGGCCAAAGGCCACGCATGCAGTTATTTACCAAACATGCACATATAAGCTCATTCACAGCTGCCAGCCATGTAGGCCAGCTGATAATGTGTTCCATCTCGGCACGCTTCAGTTGCAGTTGATGCTGTGAGGCACGCAGGCAGAGATATGGAGGAAAAAACAGAGAGAGAGAGATGCAGCAAACGACAGGGAGTGAAATATATATCAGTGGGCCTTGGGAAAGATGTATAGATAGAAAATTACAGTAGCATCAGGACAAACAATTATTTATCACATCACCAAGTTCCAGAGGCGCTGGTCTTAATGGAGAAGCATGACTGTGAGTCTTTAATGTATCTTTACGCTTTATTCCTCCCTTCTCTTCTGCCTTCCTGCCTCACTCCCCCTCCACCGCTCTCTCGCCCAGCCTCTTTTCAGTAAGGAGAGGATTAGCGGGAGACGAGCCGATGTCAGCCGAGGATGTGGACAGAGAGTGGGAGGCACAGAGTAGAGGGGAGGTGAAGAGGAGAGGAGGCTGAATGAAAGGCGGTATCGAGTGCTGACCTGTTTTGGGCTGATAAGCGTGGGCTGCTTTGTGTTGAAGCCATTGGCTTTAATTTTGGGGCTGCAACATTTGGAATTAATTATCACACACACTCCAGCACTGCTGCAGCTTACTGTATATACTGGCTATTACATCCACTCCAGTACAAACTTTATACAGCTTATATTCTGGAACTTAGTGTTACAGGACTCTGAACTGCTGTTAAAATAAATGTGCATAAACTATAGCTGCACTACAACAGATTAAGTAGTAGACAGTTAACAGAGGGAAGCAGTGTGTGTCTTCAACGCTGCCATTCTTTTTCCAACACTAAAATATCAAGAACAACATGTAATAACTACATGTTGATGTTACAAGCAGCAGCCAGTAACCATGGAAATGTGCTGCAATTTGTTCCATTTGTTCCAAGGTTGAGGTGCAATTGATCTTGACCCTGATATTTACACAGCTAAATGAAATGAAAATCAGACCAGAACAAACAGACGGTAGCTCAGTATTCCAGAACATTATACTTTTTTATTTAAAGCTATACGGAGAAGCAGCTAGCTAACTCTTTGTCTCTGAGAACACAGCCACGCAAGCCTGCGAAAGACATGAATGGCTTTTCCTTTTTCTTTTTAAACAAATTGCATTTTTTTGTAACAAGATACAATTATGTTTCTGAGCTTTAGAGCTGCTGGTGCTCATCTATCTCTGTGCAATGAGGCCTTAAATGTGAAACTATTTCTTTAAGCCTACGTGGTCGAAACAAACAACACATTAAACAACCTAAAGAGAAGAACTTCTCAGGATAAATAAATGTGGTGTCTTGTTCAAATAAAACATTGAATGTTTTATGTTGAGTTTTGTCAAAGGATTGAATGAATCAGAGTGTAGGTTTAGCTAAATATCCTAACAATCCTGAAGCCACCAGTCACCAGTTTTACCCCAGAAATGCTATAAACCAGCTGAGCCACAGGTAACGTCAGCATTTCTGGGACATCAGGTAGCCCATATTATGCACAGCGCAGAACCCCAAGGCATACGTCATGATACATGCCTTGAGGTTCCACCCAAATGTAAAATAAATAAATTAAAATCACCTTAACAAAATCATTTCCATAAACCTCGCTAGCATGGGTCTTGGATGGATTTCAAACCTTAACCAGCACATTCCCAGTGGGCAATTTGTGTGGGGTAGATTTTGTTGTAGGAATAGTAAATATAGTACAAGACAGTAACCTCTGTTAAAAGTAAATATGCAGGTAGTCAAACCAGGAGCAGCTTGACTACAGGCGACTGCGAGCAGCTTTTTTTTAGGCTGAGTGGCTCAGCACGGCTGTGCGTATGTGGGCCGTGTTCTGCATGTGATTTCCTTGAAGCCATCAGACCTACACCCCCCCGTCAGGGAAAGGCTCTCATGATAAGTAGCAGCCATGAAATATGCACAGCCTGTCGTAGTCGCCTGCCTCGCTTCGCCACCCCGTTCCCTCCCTCCCTCTTTGCCACCGTCCCTTCTTTCTCCCTCTTCCTTGCCTCCCTCCATTGTTGAATTGCTTCCCTCTTCTTCTCTGTTATGTTTTCCTTCCTCTCACATTTGCTCAAGATCCTTGCCAACTATCACTCTCCATCAGTTTAATCTCTGGTTTACCTCAGCCCCATCTCTTCACACTCTCACTGTCCTTCATCTCATCCTTATTCTCTTTTACCGCCAGTCAGTTTCTGCTCCGTGGACAGCAACAGTGTGTATGAGACAGGAATGAATTATAAGAGAGTAAGGGAGGGGCTACAATAAAGAAAGACCGAGACAAAGAAAAAAAAAACTCACAGCCATTACAGATATTACCTGAAGCAAAGCATATACTGGACAGTGAACATTACTGAAAACACAATAAAGACAAAAACACCAACAAACATCCCCTAACACATCTTTTAAACCCTTTATTTTAGCCTGTTTCTCTGGGAAAACAAAACATTTGGCACATGGAAAGCATCTTTCCTGTTTTCTAAAGACGTATTTCATTATTTTCACACATAGTAGCTTGGTCACAGTTTCAAAGCACTGGTGACACAGAAAACATGAATCACCTCAAAATGTAAAATGTATATAAATCCTAAATAACAAAAGGGTAAAACAAAAGCATTTTTCATGCAGAGTTCAACTTACTTTTCCTTCAACAGGAAGGAACATGTAAATTATATGTATACATCTACATTTGACACAGCTTTTTAAGTAAGTAGAGATTTTTGTTATTGTCATGACATGAGGTGCTGACTGCAATAAATACAAACAATGGAGGTACAACACAAACAATGGACATGGATTTCAGTCATCAAGTCAGAAAAACACAACAGTTGCATTAACGTTCACACATAAGCATGAATGAAATGTGAAGGAACTAAAACTGCTCTTCACTGCTGAAGTATCAGCTAATTCTAGACTAGAGCTCACAGACAGGACCAACCTTTTCCAGATGTTAGTTGTGACTTTAGAGAGCACTACAAGGGCTACGTCTGAAAATTTGTCTGCGGGTAATTGCTTCAGTAGTAAAGCTGCAAAAAATATGAATAAAATGTTTCATAACTCAAAACTGTCTGTCACTTCCAAACACATTTCAAGGTATCAGGTGCTATTTTCAAAAAAGTTCTATCAATAGTCCTGATGGTGGAGACCAGGAAACTTCATAACCCCAGCCCTATCCTGATTCTAAGGGCTAGTACAAATTCTGCCTTCCTGTCAAGAAGATCATTGCTAGCAGGGGAAAACAAGAGGCAGAACACGTTGTCTTGCTTCAGAGGGCCTTGCTTTAACCTGTATGCACACATATGGCTACAGTAGGATGGAAATTCTTTCTGTGCATGCAGGACACCAATTGAAAAACACCAATCACAGCGAGTCGAGCCTCAAATCCTTTCCTACATGACCAAAAACTAGATCAGAAAAATGGAGCTGCATGATTTAGCTGTCACCTTATCTGTTTCCCCAGGCCAAGGACCTTTATGAGATGCTCAGGTATTTTACCTGCATTTTGAAAGCAGGAAGCCATGGGTCTGCTAAACATCCCTAGTACTGAGGTGGTGCACTCCAGGAGTTCACACTACTTAATATCAATGAATCAAGCACAAGATTTAGGACTGGTTGTTGCTTGGAATGTAGCTGCTTCACTTTAAGTGGCCTTTCCCTGAAAACACCCTCATCTCCTCTACCCCTATCTTCTCTCTACCCCCATCTGAGGAGCCGCTGTTGGAAGTGAAGAGGGTGCCAGCATTCACAACACAAACAAATGTAAACACAAGGCCAGGCATGCATACAAAAATGTAAACGCAAATGTGCACTTTTATACTCAGAACTCATTCACATACATGTGCACACATACTGTACGGTGTCAACAAATGCCCAGGTATCAGACTCATGCTTTTGTAAAACACAAAGAAACTCACTTCTAGTCTTTCTCATTGCTTAAATACTAGATAATATAAGAGTATAAGTAGTAGTAATTTCTATCTATTGAAGTGACTCAAAGCCCGGAGACAGATTACATTTCCCAACAGCATTTTAACATCATAGTCCCAGAGTTGAACAGCAAATACACACATAGAAAATCTGACATTTGTGGTCCGTTGTGGCACATATCTGATCTTACATTGATTGTCACATTGGGTTAAATAATACCCCAGTAATAGATGCTTTCAAAACCATGAAAGAGAGTCACAAAATGGCAGCAGAGGGGCTCAGATAAGATGCTAAAATGCAGTTGGAAGACAAAGTCCCTGGCAATTACTGATATAGAAACTCATGCACAAGTATGTCAGGCATTCCAGTTTCAGCTAAGATAAGAATAAAAATACAGACACCAGTATTATTATATACTGAATAAAAGGAACACCAGCAATTACCGGTCTAACTAAAATACCTTGGAATAGCTGAGGAATGAGAAAATGAAAGGTTCAGTCACTGTTTCCGCCCAAAGAAGAATCATTAAATGGGATGTTAAAGCTATTGTTACATGTGAAATTATGCAGTTGTTTATTTGTGTGAGCTGGGGGGTGGAGGGTACATGACTTGTCAATATTCTGTATTTGTGTCAGTTTAATTAATGATACAAAAATGCTGTGCTCTAAAGGTCTAGACATTTTTGTCCTTCACTGTAAATCTGACATTTTATGAACTTTGAAGGGCCACTACTATTTTCCCTCGCTGACGTCGACTACGTCGGGTAAAATAAGCACAAACACTTTGTTCACACTGTTGAACTTCACCAAAACAGATTCAGATTGAAGTGAATCTGATTTCCATGGTTCCCATTTTCTTACAAATCTTCTTTAGTTTCATGCACAAAACTATACCACACTGGCTTTTAGTAGCAAGTGTCCAGCATATCTTGCTAATTTATACTGTGGTAATGCTTTGAAAATACAGGATTTGTCAATTTTTCTTAAAGGAAAAGTTCGGTGTTTTCTAAAATAAGCTTGTCTTGCAGAGACACGATAAGATTGATACCACTCATGTCTCTGTGCTGAATATGAAGTGATCACTAGCAGCCGGGCTGAGTCCAAAGGTACCTGAACCTCTATAGCTCTTCAATGAACAGGTTATGTCTCATGTTGATGAGTGAGAGTTAATAGTGCTGATGGGTGAACTGTGCTACCTTTGGCCAGATGTTCTCTTCTGCCTCCAGTGTTGGCTGGTATTAGCTTCATAGTGACTGTTAACAGACATGGGAGTGGTATCAAATAAGCAAAGCAAATAAGCATATTTTCCAAAATGTCTAACTAATCGTTAGTTATTTCTCATAAATCTTAATTTTGTAGCTGCACAAGCTGCTCAGTCTCACATGAAAATGTGGAATAGCCACATAGGTCCACAATATTAAATGTAGTAATGTCACAATAATGGCTGTAAAACTGTGACGTGACAACGTTTTTGTATTGCAGCCAAATGTACTTCTTTGTGTTTTTCTTCTTGGAGTTTCATGGCAGTTGGCAAATAACGAAATAATGCGTTACCGCCACCAACTGGACTGGAGTGTGGATGAGGAAGCTAACATTTAGCGCCAGTTGAAGTTGAACGGTTTTGAACTATAGGGCGTTAAAAACAGTAGGGAGGTAGTGGGTGGGCATTTGGATGAGACCAAGAAACACCCGCCTTTCACACAGACAACCAGAGATCAATTCCTGTGTTTGAAGCTTTGCTTTGAGAGTGTTCTAACCAAACCCTGGAGCTTTCCCCAAACATGCAGCTTCTGTGCCTAATCTTAACCATATATAAGGAATGTCAGCCATTTTTCTCATTTTCATTGCCAGAAAAATGTTGGTATGTCACATTTTTTGATCCAGAAAAAAAAAAATGCTCCAATGTCAGAATTATGGAGCATTATTGAGAAACTAGTGCTTTTTGCGTTGAGGACCAATGTAACTATTATACATTTTGATGTGAAATTGGGTTAGAATAAGAGTGCTACTTTATACTAGACACACGGACCCTTCAGAGGTCAACACATCATCCAGGTTGCAACAGTGTGAACACCACATGTGTATACTGTATCCGTTTCAATCTTAGCTCATATGTCCCTTTAGTTCGAGGCTTCTTAGGGACTGTGACAACTAAAAAAAAATTCTAGGATATTTCAAATTGCTATGCTTGTGAGCATGCATGCATATATTCAAAGGTACAGACATAATCTAGTTTGTATGTATGTGTCTATGTGGCCATGCATGAGCTTAAATCAAGCCTGCTTAACAGCAGTGGTGGTAGCAGCAGCCCCTGGGAACTCCGGGTTGATAAAGGAGAATCCCTGGAACTCGTCCTGGTCCAGGTTCTGAATCACTTCCTCATCGGGAGGGGTCAGCACCGGCGGGTGGCGTGTGAAAAAACGATCAAAGTTCTCCGCTTCCCGTCCACACTGTTGAGGAGGGCGGGGAGGAATGGCACACATAGGGAAGGGTTGGATTGGGGATGGAGAGGAATGAATGGATTAGGGTGGGTTGGGGGAGAAGGAGAGGAAAACAAAAGAAAGGGAATGGCAGGTAGAACCAGGGAGTGAGATGACATTACTTGAACATAGTTTCAAATATCTGAACAAGAGCCAGTGCTTGGGCTGTGCTCGACTCGACTCTCCATTAGCTCTGGTTGAAAGCTAATTTATTACCTTGAAAACTACCACTCTCAGGAGATGGAAGATCAAGCACCTTTATGCTTTCCTTCTTCAAATATTTGAAACACATTCAACTCCAACTTTAAACAGAACAAGGTCACTGAAGTCTCAAACATCCTGTGGCAGTGCACTATCATATTGGTGGCCGTGCGCAGAGCTGCTTGGAAACGAGCATTTCACTTACAAAGCATCCCACCGTGGCTGTAAGTAAATAGCCAGAAACAATTTTCCTTAGCTTTTTATCTTGATTTTGTGGTTGTAATGCTTGGATTTAATTGGAATTTCTAAATACAAAAAGGCTCAAAGCCGTGAGATGATTATAGCGTAATTGTGGGTTAATTATATGCTACAGCTGTGGAGACCTGCTGAGATATGATAAACCAAATGAGACAATCAGCTCGTATGCAAATGAGCACTGGGAACGACTCAAAACTCTTTAATTCAGTTTGTCAAAATATTTCATGTACTTTCAGGATATCCTGAATATGATGATTAATTTTAAAACATCTACTGATTCAAAATGTTGACACATATACTTAGTATAAGTATAAAGAAGAAGCTTGATGCAAGCGTATTGCACAGTTTTTAATTTGTTTGTTTTCTCATGAAGCAGCTGAGGAAAAGAAGAAGTCAT